AACAATCCGTACATATCGCAAACTTACGATAATTCGAAACCCCATAGTTACATAATAACGATTGATAGCAATAATCTATACGGATTGAGTATGGTTCAATATCTCCCATATTCAGAGTTTCGTTGGTTGCGACAATCCGAAATTGACGAATTTAATATTAAAAATGTTTCTTCAAAATTCGAAATAGGATACATACTCGAAGTAGACTTAGAATATCCGGTTTCGCTTCACGATAGACATAATGATTTACCCCTCGCAGTAAGTCACGAAACAATAGAATACGATGATTTATCTGAATATCAGAAATCTCTTTTATCTTCTTTAAATCTAAAATTTAACAATAATGTTAAAAAATTAGTTCCGACTTTAAAAGATAAATTACTATTATCATTACATCGAATATTTAAAATACATTTTTTATTTACTAAATGTTTAGGTAAAATTATGGAACCACACCCTCCATTATATGCATTATATGTCGTGATTTCGTAAAACAACGATCGTTTACCATCACAAAATGATATCTGGGGTGTTAGAGATTAAAACCGTGTTAGAATACCGTTTAAAAATTCACAGAAGAAATTTTATTGGACATCATATGATAGCCGAATCATGGGAATTTTTATCGATTAATAGTTTGGACGATCTCGTTTTTAATAATGAATGTGGAGAAGCATTTATTTTAGAGGAAAAAGGTAATTATCTTTTTTATATTTTATAAAACAAAATATTTTTTTAAATTTTAATTTGTAGAAGATTCTTATATTTTTTTAAAAATTTTAATTTGTAGATGAATCTGAAGAAGAATACAAATATGAAAATATTTTTAATGTTTTTCAAAATGTGCCAGCCATATATTTAAGTCCGCAAGATGAATGCAATATCATTAAAAAAACATATAATGAATATAGTTTTAATTGTAATGAAAAACGATATTCCTGCAAAAGGACAAAAGAAATTATAAGTGAAGAAGCAATTATTCACGGGGTTTTTAATAATTCAAAACATAATCTTTATTTTTTAAAAAAATATAATTAATAAAATTTATACTCTTATGTTTTTGTATAATCTTCAAATTAATATATATCATTGTAACCCCTATTCTTTATTCCAATAAAAGAGAGAAAAAGAGAATCGTGTCGTTTATTTAATCACCGTCGCGACACAATAAATACCGTTAAAAAATTGATATATAGCGAAATAGCAAATAGCATGATCCGATTAGCGACGGTACATGTTATTTGTTATTTCTTTTAACATCTAATTTCGAAAAATATAATAAAAATAATTAAAAAATGTTATTTAATATATTTCTTACAAGATGGCGCCACTCGCATTTAAAAAGTCGATCGCTTGTATATTTAAAAAAAAATCAGTTCCTTTATCTAAACAAAAATTACAAATATATCGTTATCGCATATTAATATATTTTAGAATCTAAGTCCGTTTTTACAATATATCTTAAAACAAAAGCGATTTATTCCAGAAACGCTCGTTCAAATCTCGTGGAAAAGTATAACCGAAGGGGCATCGAAAATGGGTGTGGTTTCGACTCCCATGAGAGTTTTTGGGATGGTAATTATCTCGGAATCGCTCGAGAGATTCTGTGATTTTGCTCGATTTTAGCCCCTGCTCGACGTCTTTCCCTCAAAATGATAAGAGTTTATGAGATAAAAGTTATAAACCCTCGCGAAGTTAACCAAATTATCCCAGAGTCTCTCATACATATACTACTGACCAGCGATCACCTATTCCGTGCACCAACAGGAAAATCGAGTGGAATCGACGCCCATGGAAATGATTGAGTTGATGCCAGTAACCTTAGAAACAAGTCCACCTCCGAGGACTCTAGAAGCATTAGAGGTTAATCAACCAATGTTGATGAGACCCAAACGGGAAGAATCCGTTATACTACTCGTCGGAGTTAAAACTATTCCTACTCAAATAAGGCATTTGTGAATCCCGCACCTCCGAAATTATATATCCTAACTCGTGTAATTTTCTATCAGATCGTCGGTCAGTAAAAGAACCGAGACTCAAACAACTTTCTTTTTCCTTTCTTTAGAATCAAAGCTTAACCGATGGAAGAGCAGAGAACGTCGCCTTCTGCCGATACGTCGAATACAGAGAGGTCTTGCACCCCAAGTTCAATGACAGATCCGGCTCTCTTGGCTCTGTTCGAATGTCCCGTGTGCTTCGACCAAATATCAATGTCCCGCTGAACATGTAATTTGTTTCTGATGTAAACCGAAGGTTCATAAATGTCTGACTTGTCGAGGGGACATAGGAAACCACCGAAATCTTGTGTTAGAGCAACTAGCGGAAATTGTNGGAACGATTTATTCCAGAAACTCTCGTTCAAATCTCGCGGAGAAGTATAACCGAAGGGGCATCGAAAATGGGTGTGGTTTCGACTCCTATGAGAGTTTCTGGGATGGTAATTATCTCGGAATCGGTCGAGAGATTCTGCGATTTTGCACGATTTTAGCCCCTGCTCGACGTCTTTCCCTCAAAATCATGAGAGTTTCTGGGATAAAAGTTATAAACCCTCGCGAAGTTAACCAAATTATCCCAGAGTCTCTCATATATATACTACTATTAATTAATCAGATCTTAGTTGATTTTGATGCATGGAATG